CGCACACAGACGCACCACCGTATCTCTTTCGGACGAAAGGATAGCGAGCAGCAGCAAAGAAAGAGCCACCACACAAATCGTGCCTACATAATACTCTTCAGCCTACACACACCTTGCGCACTCAATAATGCAGCGCTACAGCATGAGAGACCTCACAGCCAAACTTGAGGCGACGAACAGCCACGCACGCACTTGCACACACAGACAGCCACACAAAACAACGCCCGCAAGGAGGATATATGCCTCCTGTGACTGCCCGCTCTGCACAAGCACCAGCCTAGAACGACGCCCAAACGATACCACCATCGCCCCCTCCAAATGAAACAGACACACGCACATGCGCGATCAGATCAGCTCACGCCAAACACACAAGCGCGGCGTCTCTCCACTCGGAGACAAACGACGACAGTCTACTTGGGATAGTTAAAAGACACTGAAACAGACGTGCTGCCGGCAATATGGCCGGCAGCGCAATATGCGTTCAGAAATCTGATGGTTCACTGAAATCTGCAATTCACAATGCGTATCGCATTTCGCTGCGTCCTTCATCGATGCGCGAGCCAAGACATCCATTGCTGAAAGTTTTTCACTTTACAAAAATTGTAGGAGTGTCGCGCGACAAACACTTCTGCGGAGAAAAGCGCTGCTTTTGCGCACAATGCACGCACACACAGCAACACCACCACAGACACGTGCACAGTGAGAACGAGCGAGTCAGAGTGGAACACTACTGCCGCAACACCACCAAACACAGCGGAACTGCCAGCAGCAATAAACCACTTCACACTACATTTCTCGCACCCACGCATCTGCATAGCATTTGTGCATCATATTCATCCACCCAACACACACACCCAACCTACCTTCCTTCCCACGCGTAACAAAAATGACACGCGCAGCACCAGTGTAGGTCTAGTAGGTAGTACATGTGCATAGTAGAAACACGCTCGCCACACGCCTCCTCTCCAAAAGAAGCATCAGCAACAACATCTCCTCATCAAATGCTTTAAAAAGAAAATGCGTCGTGAGAGAGAAAAGCGATTCGAGGGTTGGGATGGGTGTATACAACGTTAAAAACTTCCAGTCTCGCAAGCGGCGCCACACCACATGCTAAAACATAGCAAGCAGCATACACAGCAGCCGTCGCTCGACACAGAATGTGTGAATGATCCTTCCGCAGGTTCACCTACGGAAACCGTGTTACGACTTTTGCATCCTTTAGAGGGCTCTATTTACGCAACTTTCCGACCAGCTCCGCGAAGCACAGCTGGTCAGTCCAATGAGTTCACAGGACCCTCCGATCGGTTGCAGCGACGGGCGGTGTGTACAAGGGGCAGGGACGTAATCGGCGCAAGCTGTTGACTTGCGCCTACTAGGCATTCCTCGTTGAAGATTAATAATTGCAATAATCTATCCCCATCACGATGCACACTCAAAAGATTACCCAGACCTGCCGGCCAAGGTCAAAAACTCGTTGCATGCATCAGTGTAGCGCGCGTGCAGCCCAGAACATCTAAGGGCATCACAGACCTGTTATTGCCTCAAACTTCCTTGCGTTAGACACGCAAAGTCCCTCTAAGAAGTGATGCGGAAACCAAAGTTCCCGATCCTATTTAGCAGGCTAAGGTCTCGTTCGTTATCGAAATTAACCAGACAGATCACTCCACCAACTAAGAACGGCCATGCACCACCACCCATAGAATCAAGAAAGAGCTATCAATCTGTCAATCCTTCCCATGTCTGGACCTGGTGAGTTTCCCCGTGTTGAGTCAAATTAAGCCGCAGGCTCCACGCCTGGTGGTGCCCCTCCGTCAATTCCTTTAAGTTTCAGCCTTGCGACCATACTCCCCCCAGAACCCAGAGACTTTGATTTCTCATGAGGTGCAGGAGAAGCCAAGGTAGGCGTTTCCCTATCTCTAGTCGGCATAGTTTATGGTAGAGATTACGACGGTATCTAATCGTCTTCAAACCCCCTACTGTCGTTCTTGATTAATGAAAACATCCTTGGCAAATGCTTTCGCAGTAGTTCGTCTTTAACAAATCTAAGAATTTCACCTCTGACAGTTAAATACGAATGCCCCCAACTGTCCCTATTAATCATTACCTCGGTCCTAGAAACCAACAAAATAGAACCAAGGTCCTATCTTATTATTCCATGCTGCAGTATTCAGGGCGACAAGCCTGCTTGAAACACTCTATTTTTCTCAAAGTAAAAGTTCCGGAACACCAACGCACGCAGCGAAGCGCGGAAGGCTACCGGAAGAAAGCCGCGGGCAACCCAGGCGCACACCCTACGGGCAAGGCCGGATGACCACGACAGAAATCCAACTACGAGCTTTTTAACTGCAACAACTCTAATATACACTATTGGAGCTGGAATTACCGCGGCTGCTGGCACCAGACTTGCCCTCCAATTGTTACTCTGGAAGGATTTTAAATTCCTATCATTCCAATTACAAAGCATTAAATGCCCTGTATTGTTATTTCTCGTCACTACCTCGAAACTGTTTTCATTGGGTAATTTGCGCGCCTGCTGCCTTCCTTAGATGTGGTAGCCGTTTCTCAGGCTCCCTCTCCGGAATCGAACCCTAATTCCCCGTTACCCGTCAATGCCACGGTAGGCCAATACCCTACCGTCGAAAGCTGATAGGTCAGAAACTTGAATGATCTATCGCCGGCAAAAGCCAAATGCGATCCGTTCGGTTACTATGAATCACCAAGGCTCCACAAAGTGGGTTGGTTTTGTATCTAATAAACACGGCCCCTCCAAAGAAGGAGGCCTGTGCGCATGTATTAGCCATAGAATTACCATGGTTATCCATGTAAAAGAGACCATCAAATAAACTATAACTGTTTTAATGAGCCATTCGCAGTTTCACCGTATAAAAGCTTATACTTAGACATGCATGGCTTAATCTTTGAGACAAGCATATGACTACTGGCAGGATCAACCAGGTTGCTATCGTTTTCCTCTCGCCGCC